GGGGGGGGAAGGGAATGCGGATAGTAGATGACAACACTAACCGCCACTTCCAACCCATTTAATAAGTGCCCATGTTCTGACCCGTGTAGGGGCTAACCCTACTATATCTATATGAACTGTTTTATTTATAAATTCAGTAATACCTCATAATTAACAGAACATCATGGAACCAACACTATGCTCATATTCAATACTTAAAACATAAAAGTTTTATTGTTTAACAATTCAATACGTAATACTTCTATCATGTATCTGGTGGAAAATTTGGAAAGAAACGAACTCTAGATCTTTTGATGAAAATAGCAGTTCAAGTCAGAAAATCAAGATGATTTGTCTTCTTTTATTTTATTTTTGGTGTAAAGAAGAGATCTGGAAGAAGCAGAATCCTTATTGACATTATTGATCATTTTTGCTTTACTTTACAATATGTAAATATTCCCAGCACAGTCTTTGCAGCGGAGATTAATAATACTACTGTTATCTTTCTCAAAAAAGATACTTCTATCATGTAATCTTACATTGCTCTATAGCATCTCAACTTTGGAAACTGTTTCTGAACTTTTTTGGAGTAAGATGGACTACGAGATGAAATGCTTTCCTACCGTAAGGTCAGGCTTAAGCTTATTCCCGTCAGTTCCTGAACCACTTTGAATTAAGCTTTCTTTCTTTCTGTTATATGGCCCGCCCTGGGATTATAACGATGACTAAAGCCTCTATCAGGCGTGAAAAGTCAATTTTAAAGAATTCGCTCTCCGGTAAGGAAGGAAAGCACGTCAAAGCTTGCCACGGCGTCAAGGCAGTTCGACAGTGGCAGAAAGTCCTGTCCCTCTCGGTTGCTGGACAAGGATGGGGCTGAGCAAAGAAGTCAAGAAAATATGGAACGACGCTCCAGCTTCTATCTAGTGGATTTGCAAAGGGAACGTAACCAAAAATGTTCGAGTGCATGGCTGAATCTACACCTGGATATAAATAAACTGTATACTCTTGCTCACCTGTTGCTGTAGGTTGGAAATTATATGACATAAACAGTACAAACTCCTAGATTTTATCAATTCCTTACAAGTATAACTCATGATTGACGGATGAAAGGAGAAGTGGCAACTCCATCACTAGAGCTATGCCTGACTTCACTAGCTTTATTGATGACATGGAACTCATTGACCCTCCGTTATTAGGAGGGATTTACACTTGGACCAGGGGAAACAACACTCATATTGCCTCCAGAATTTATAGAATTTTGTTCTCTTCAGAGTGGGATGAAAATTTCAGAAACATCAGGCAGTCAGTTCTAACTAAAGTATCATCAGATCACTCCCCCATTTCCCTCGACTCTGGGGATTGGGAGAATGTCAAATCATACTTCAAATTTGAAAATTGGTGGTTGGGTGCTGAAGGTTTCAGCGAAAAGGTGGCAGACTGGTGGTCTTCTTTTGTCACTCAGGACAGACCAGATTACATCCTCCCTAAAAAATTAAAGCTCCTAAAAGGCAAGCTTAGAGAATGGGGCTCATCTCTAGGAGGAAATCTAGAAGCAAGGAAAACAGAAAGTTTGAACAGAATTTTTGAGCTTGATGCTGCGCAAGAAAGCAGAGATCTCAGTGATGATGAACTGACCCTAAAAGCAAGCTTGGTCATGGAACTGGAAGAAATTGCAAAAAACGAGGAGATCTCTTGGAGACAAAAATCTAGAGTCCAATGGTTGAAACTGGGGGATAGAAACACAAAATTCTTCCATAAGGTGGCCAATGCAAATAGGAGGTTCAACACCATTGACAAACTTAACATCAATGGTACGCAGGTGGAGGATTTGAATACAATCAAGGCTGAGATTCTATCATTTTACCAGCAGCTCTACAAAGAACCAGAGGAATGGAGGCCAGAGTTTAACTATCCACACGGCTCCAAGATCAACGAATCTGAGGTGCAGTGGCTTCAAAGAGAGTTTGATGAGCAGGAAATATTGGAGGGCCTTAGAGCATGTGCAACAGATAAGGCTCCAGGCCCTGATGGGTACACTATGGGATTCATTCTCCATTGTTGGGATGTGATTAATTGTACACCTTCCATAATTTTCACACCAATGGGTATTTTGAAAAAAGCTTTAATGCCACATACTTAGCTTTAATTCCTAAGAAGATAGGGGCAGGTGAGTTGAAGGATTATAGACCCATAAGTCTAATAGGGAGTGTCTACAAAATCATATCCAAGGTTTTAACAGAGAGATTGAAGAAGGTGATTCATAAACTGGTGGATGAGCAACAAATGGCCTTTATTAAAGGCAGACAAATCATGGATGCATCTCTAATAGCCAATGAATGTGTGGATTCCAGAATCAAGGAGAAGAGCCCAGGCATCTTGTTCAAATTGGACATTGAAAAGGCCTTCGATCACATTAACTGGAGTATCCTTTTAAAGCTCCTCAGAGATTTGGGTTTTGGCGACAAATGGATTAGGTGGATTCAGTTCTGTATCTCAAATGTCAGATTTTCCATCCTCATCAATGGTTCCCCAGAAGGCTATTTTCCATCTCAGAGAGGCCTAAGGCAGGGAGATCCTCTTTCCCCTTTCCTTTTTGTTATTGCTATGGAAGGGTTGAACTGCATGATCAAGAAAGCGAACAAGGAGGGGTGGATTAGGGGCTTCAGGGTTCCCAACAATGCAAGTAGTGTCATGGAAATCACTCATCTTCTTTATGCTCATGACTCACTTATTTTTTGTGATGCCAAGGAGGAGCAGGTTACTCACCTGAGATTAATTTTGACTGTTTGCGAGGCCATCTCAGGTTTACATGTGAACTGGAGTAAATCCTTGATTTTCACTGTTAATGGGGTCACAGATCTTCAAAGACTAGCTGGCTCCCTAGGATGTGAAGTGGGATCTCTTCCTACCACCTATTTGGGGCTACCACTAGGTGCAAAGAGCAAGTCCAAGCAGATATGGAATGGGGTTCTAGAAAGGTGTGAATAGAAGTTATCCACGTGGAAGAACAGCTAGCTATCCTTGGGAGGGAGGGTCACACTAGTCAACAGTGTACTAGACTCCCTCCCCACCTACATGATGTCAATTTTTCCACTACCTGTTAGTGTTGAGAAAAAGATTGATGCTTTGAGGAGGGACTTTATTTGGCATGGGAATAAAGAGAAAAGAGGCTACCATTTAGTTAAATGGAAAACTCTCACGACTAGCAAAAAGGAAGGTGGATTGGGAATCAGAAATTTGAGGCAGCATAACAAGAGCCTACTTATGAAATGGTTATGGAGATTCCCCTTGGAGGAACACGCCCTATGGAGGAAAGTGATATGTGGAAAATATGGGACTGAAGGCCAGTGGAGCACAGTTACAGTGACTAGCCCTTACGGTGTGAGTGTATGGAGATCTATCAGATCTCTCTGGCAAAACCTAATGAGCAATTCTAGCATAAAGGTGGGTAATGGTGCAAAAACTATCTTCTGGAAGGATGAGTGGATAGGGAATACTCCACTAAAAGATAGTTTCCCTGATCTATACTCTTTAGCGCAGCAAACAGATGCTTCTATTGCTGATACCTGGAGTCAGCAAGGCTGGAATTTAAGCTTCAGAAGACTACTGAATGATTGGGAGGTGACCAGAGTAATTGAGCTTCTGAAACTTCTGGAAAACTTCAAAGGACCAACTGAGCAAGTGGACAAACTGCTATGGAAAAACAATAGCAAAGGAGTTTTCACTGTGAAATCTGCATATGAGGTTTTAAACAGAAGTTCGCAGCAACAAGAGGCTTGGATATGGAAGCACATCTGGAGGTTGAAGGTCCCTTTTAAAGTTAATGTGTTTTGCTGGCTAGTGGTCAAACAGGCTGTTCTGACACATGAGAGCTTAATGAAGAGAGGAATGCCTCTGTGCTCCAAATGTTTTCTGTGTGGAAGGGCCATCGAAACAAACAAACATCTATTTCTCCATTGTCAGGTGACCAATAGTTTGTGGCAACTTTTCATAAGTATGAAAAGCTTAAGCTGGGTGATGCCTAGAGAGACTATGGACATACTGTCTAGCTGGGACTATTTAGCTGCAGGAACCAGCCAGAAGAAGTGGTGGAGTCTTATTCCAGCATGCATTTGGTAGACTATCTGGCTGGAAAGGAACTCTAGATGTTTTGAAGACTCGGCAAATCCTGAACAGAAGATTAAAATGAACTGTATATCATTGTTTCACTTTTGGTGTAAAGAAGCTTTAGTACAAGATGTAGATTCCCTAGTTGACCTCATCGGATCCTTGTAAATGACACAAGACTTGTATTTCTCTGCTTGTTTTTGTTCATCTTTCTCTTTTTTGGAAGTCTTGTAACTAGGGACCTTTTCTCTCAGCACTATCTTCGCTGAGAATTATATATCAATGAAATCTGTTACCATTTCAAAAAGAAGTATAACTCATGATTGAACTTCTCTAGTAAGTTAAGATTCTCAGAACCATCTCAGTGCTGTTTTTGCATCAGTAAAATCATACTTATCAAAAAAGTATTGGAAGCCAAGGCAATAGATTTTCGAGTGTCCACTAACTCTGACATGTTATCTATCTCATTATGCATGTAAAAAGGAGGTCTACATATACTTGGACAAAAGGATGAAAATGTTAAATTTAACAGTGATTTACATGCAGCGAACGAGGGAAATTTACAAATCATCTGCTTTTACCACGAATGGTCAAACAACTATGAACCTCTTCAACTAGCATCATCTAAATTGGGTTATCTTTTAACAGTACGCTAGCAAAAGAGGGATGTAACTAAAAGAAATAAAAGACATTAAGTTAATCCTCATACTTTGATGCGGATGATATGCAAAATAATGTGGATACCTTTTGATGACATCAAGAATTACACATGGAGAGACAAAGTGTGTGTATATATATATATAGAGAGAGAGGGGGGGGGGGGGGGGGGAGAATAAGTAAGACTAAGTGCGCGTATGAGCTGTGAATTTGTCATTCGCTTGTACACCACAATACAAATCTTAGAACAGGTGATCAACTGAAGTTCATTAGCACCAGATTGTTAGATTAGCTCCCAAGTTCCACTGTTGAAACCACTACCACTACCACTAGGGGAAGTGAAATTGGAGAAAGAATTCAAGAGAAAACTATTGGGGTTTGGATAAGCGTAAGCCTAATTTGAAAACTTATTCAAGAAGAAATAGAGCAGAAGAAGCCATCATGCACTCTACAGAAGTTGAACCTTCTTCTACTAGTGAGTTATGTACATTCCCAAATGAGTTAGATTTGCCTATTGCTTAGACGGAAGGAGTCAAATCTTGCACCACCAAACACCTTTTATCTAATTTTGTCTCTTATAACTCTTTGTCTACCCCCTATGGAGCTTTTGCCTTTGTCTATTTCTTTTGTGTCTATTCATCACTGAATTGGAGGGAAGCTTTTGCAGATCCTAAATGGAAGCAAGCTACGATTGAAGAAATGAAAGCCTTGTCAAAAAATGAAACTCGAAAACTTGTCACTTCACAACCGGACAAAAAGTTAGTAGGCTACAAATGGGTCTTCACTGTGAAGCACAAAGTTGATGGCTCGATTGAAAGATTCAAAACAAGATTGGTTGCTACGGGTTTTACTCAAATTTATGGAGTGGATTATTATGAAACATTTGCCCTGTTGCTAAAATGAACACTGTTAGAATTCTTTTTGCTTGTACAACTAATGTTGATTGGTATTTACAATAATTTGACGTGAAGAATGCATTTCTTCATGGAGACTTAGAAGAAGAGGCGTATATGGAAATTCCTCTTAGATTTTATACTGAACTAAGCCAAGGAAAAGTGTGCAGATTGAAGAAAGACAGTAAAGACGGAAGCAATCCCCTGGAGCTTGGTTTGACTGATTCCACAAAGCAATGATCTCCTTTGGCTACCAACAAAGCAATGTTGATCATACCCTTTTCATAAGACATCAAAAGGGTAAACTACTCTTCTCATTGTTTATGTTGATGACATAGTAATGACAGGAGACGACAAAAAGAAGATGACCTGATTGAAGAAGCTATTGGCACAGGACTTTTAAATCAAGAACCTAGAAAAATTGCAATATTTCCTGGGAATTGAGGTTGCTAGATCAAAAAGAGGAATTTTTATTTCTCAAAAAAGTATATTCTGAATCTCTTGAAAGAAACTGATATGACAGATTGCAAACCAACAAAACCATCCATTGAAAGAGATCACAAGTTACATACAGAACTGGAAAGCCAGTTGATATGGAGAGATAATAGAGGCTGGAAGACTCATTTATCTCTCTCATACCAGACCAGACATAGCCTATCCAGACAGCTTGGTGAGTTAGTTATGCATGATCCCCGAGATCCTCATATGCAAGTTGACTTTCGCATTTTGCGGTATCTGAAATTTGCTCCGGAGAAAGGTCTGCTTTTCTCCAAACATGGTCACCTTCGGGTAGAAGCCTATAGAGATACGGATTTGGCTGGATCTTTAAATAATAGAAGATCTACATCCGGTTACTGTACACAAGTAGGAGGGAACTTGGTTGATTGCAGAAGCAAGAAGCAAAGAGTAGTTGCTAGATCAAGTATAGAAGCAGAATATAGCGAGTATCTATGAACTTCTTCGGTTACTAAAGTTACTAAAGAAATTGAAACTGTCTAAAAAGGGGGAACGTTTCTTATTGTGTCACAACAAGGCTGTCATCTTATTGTGTCACAACAAGGCTGTCATCAGCATAGCTCATAACCCAATCCAGCATGGCCGAACAAAGCATGTTGAACTTGATCACTTCGTCAAAGAAAAAGTTACGAGTGGTATCTTGAGCTTGTTTCATGTGTCATCAGAAAGCAGCTAGTTGATGTGTTTACCAAAAGTCTCAACAAACATTTTTCATACACTGGTTTGCAAGTTGGGCACATGCGAAATCTTTGAACCAACTTGAGGGGAAGTATTTATTGGCTTGATTATTATGAAAGATTTGATTTTATTCTGATTGAGTGTAATTGATGTTATTTATTTCCTTCCTAAAATAGTCATAGGACCTTGTGTATAAGTACCTTTGTTTAGGGATGTAGAATCATACTAATATATTGAAAGAAACCTTTCTTCTTCGCAAATCTACAATACTACAAGTTACAAATATTGCATTGAATGATATAAAGGATAATATTTCAAAATTCCTCAACTATGATGTTGTTCGACTCAAAAGGCAAAAATACAACTACCATTTTGTAAGGAGCGCAAGTGTATTCTTATTCCTCATCATAATGTATCTTACAGCTTATATCACCTATCCAGATCCATTCTAGATAGAAAATAGAGCAACAAAGAGATTATCCCGCCCCATGATTAGTAACATGAAAATTGAATCAAATAATGCCATACAGAGCAGTATAAAGTTTATCTATAGAAGATCTCGTATAACATTGTCTCAAAGAATTCTTACCTCCACAATTCGTTTCCGCAAAAGTTTGGAAGTAACTTCCTTGAATACCAGCTTCACATCTACCTCAGAGAACAGCTGAAACAGAAGTAGAAAGCATGATCTTAAGACTAACAGCAAAAGTTAATACCAAATTACCTGTCCCGCATTTACGAAGAAAGTATGCAGTTCCACTACCCCTCAGGTCTCAGTGCCAATGGAGACACATCCAGAATTTATAACTTCCTAGGATTAGGCCATCAACTGAGGAGTAATGATCAGAATGTGACTCTGAAAAGACACGTATTCATCAAAAGGAGGAAAGCTTGTGCCAGCTAAATACATATCATCTAAACTCCTTACTTTTTGTTCTTATTTATCACCACAGTATCCATTGCAACAAAAATCAATCCATCAGAACAAAAAAATCATTTGGAAAAGTAGGAAGAGGAGAGAAAATCACTAGCAGATTGGAAAGTTGTAGCTTCACCTATCAAGGATGAACATTGGGATGAATTTCTCGGATAGGAACATTTGGACACTGTTACTCATCACGATATATCTTGTATAAAATGCAAGACCTAAACTTGCGTGATGTGTGGGGCTCTTTACTGATACTTACAGGCAAAATTACCTTCAGAATTTTACTCTTTTTTTCCCCTTTTTTTGCAAAATTGCGGAGTGATATTAGTTGAGATCTTAATAATAAAAACTGAACATCCCAATAGAATTGAAATTAGAAATGGGCTTTAACCGTAGTGATCTATTTCTTACTACATACATATGATTGCTATTAAAGTCTCGCATTCCCAAATTTCTTAGAATTAACTTGGCACAAGTAAAAGCTGAAACAAAGAGGACTTTTTTACTTGCTTAAAAAGAAAAAAAATACTATGAACCCGAAATCATATAAGAAGCTTAATCATATAAATAATGTTATTAACTACTTTTTCTTTTCTTTGGTTTTCTCTTTACTGTGCCTCCTTGAATTAATATTACTATCTTCACTTTAAATAGTACATAGACTGATTAGTACATCCTCTATCTCATTTTACGTGATAGTGTTTGACTTGGCATGGGGTTTAAGAAAGAATAAAAGTGCAGTCTAAAACAAGCCATAAACATTTTTGTGGCTATAAATCATCTCATCAAGGGTAAAATGGGATGTTTAAAGTTAAATTATTCTAAATATAGATAGATGTCATCCTTTTTGAGATAGACTAAAAAAAAAAGAGGTGTCACATAAAATGGGAGAGAAGGAGTAATATCTATCAAAATGCAATTCCATACCAATGTCCAATACCAAGATCCTTGGTCAAGAACTTCATTTTTCAGCACCAAGTCGTAATATATTTTGTCTAAGATTTAAAAAAACAAATCCCGATTATATGAAATTATGAATCATAACAAAGGTATTTTTTATATACTTTTCTGGGTGGGGATAACGAAGGTATAATATTCCACAATAAGACAATAACACCAATATAAAGAGAACAATATAAATACACTTTTTAAGAAAAAGCAGATGCTAAATTTTAAAATAAGATTAATACCCCAAACTCATTAGGCTTCCACGAAATCTTTTTTCATGGATGCTTTTAACTCCTAGCCTTCCTCTTTAAAGTGATATAGAATGAGCTACTAAGAAACACGGAGGCCTTCATACAGTGATAAATTTGTCTCTTACCAATTATTATGCAAATACATTCACAACAATCATTAAGAGATCTATCATGTACCCATGCATTCCCTTTTTTTTTGGGGGGGGATTTCCAAAACCTCGCTTTAAAATTAGGGGGACCCAAAGGGAACAAAATATTCACGACACCTTTTTGTGTGCCAGACATTTAAGAGAGTAACAGATAGCAATTAAAGAGATGGCTAAACTAAGAGTATCTTATCAAAAGAGTGAATCTGTAAGAGTTTGTCACTTCTCAACATTTGAACTTATATGATATCTTATATACTGTTAAAATGGTCTGTCCCAATATTTATGACTAACTTATTAAAAAGAGGGTCGAAAGAAATAGATTCCACCATCTAACTGATGGTTGAGTAGAATTACCAAAGTTCATTAATAGGGTAAACATCCTATAAGGATTCTTTTTTTTGATGAAGCAAATGAATTTCATTAAATGGCATCAAGAAGATGCATAGCAAAAATTACAACATAAAGGTATTGTCTGCTCATATACCGGACAACTAAGGAGCAGAAAAAATCCAGAAACAGTTCAACACTAGTTACTGTTTCAACACTAGTTACAGGGGCCTGATTGAACCAAGTAAGTTAATTAAACAAGTGGCTTTAAGAGTGTGGTTGGGAATTGAAATCCCATCAAAACATCTACGGTTCCTTTCATTCCAAATACTCCAAAAAACAGCACCAGGTACCATTGACCAAGTCTTTATGATGGATTTCCCAACTCTCCAAGAACACCAACTCTCAGAAGAAGCTTCCTTGATACCGTTTGGCATACCCAGGCAAGTCCAAAAACTGATAAAACATACTCCAAATATCTGTTGCTACTGAACAGTGCAAAAAAAGATGGCTCACACTCTCAGATTCCATCTGACACATATAACATCTATTAACATAAGGATTTATGCCTCCATGAAGCAAAATAAATGCAAATCCAAAGGAAGTTCAATTTAGATGTAGTTCCTTTATTTGTAGCCGGGAAATTCAATTGTTTTACACCTTTAAGTCATAATCCGATCAATATCGTCTATTTCTCTTTCCAGATTTACAATTTTCTGGAATATTTGGAATTAGGGGTACTACTTAAATCCTCCTCATTTATAGTATGTCCCCCAACAATCCAATAGAGTTAACTTAATGTTCCTTTGTTGACTCTATTGTGAGACTTGGATTAATGAGCTTGTCACATTATACAGGCTGCTTAGATACGGCAAGGGAAATAAGACACTTGTACATGTTGTGTGTTGAACGAAGTCATGGATCTAGCAGATCTGACACTGGAAGGGTGACTTGACCTGATCTACTGGCAGAATGAGACCAATTGCTAGTTTCAAACAGATCCTTTTTTTTTAATTTATGGTGGTAGTTTGGGGCAGTTGTACGCACCTCGATTAATCTATTATGTAGTACGTACCTGCTACCTTCCACCTGCATAGGGTAGCCAGTAATTATGCCCACCAAAATTTAGCCAGATGGAAAAAACTCAGCGTTCTTATTTTTCCTCTGCTGCAACTTGAACCCCAGTTGTCATCCCATTTCATAACCCATCAATCCACCCTTGGGTGCAGCTCAAACTTTCTTTTTATCTTGGATAGCAGTTTTATCCAAATGCATGATCGTGTCTTACCACAGTTCCATGGAACTATTTCGTTACACGGAAGAAATATTGTCCTTTTTGTCGTAAAAGATGGGGTTGAGAAATTGGGTTTTAAGTCCATCAAAGATCAAAGGCGGAGGGACTATGTTGTTCACAGAAGCCCTAAGCAGAGACTTCTTTCCAGACTGAAGACACTCAAAATTTTCAGCAATACTAGTTTAGGCAAGAGAGATTTTTCCTAGTAGGTTTTAGATAAATACTTTCAGGAGTAGGAATTGATTTTGGGGGTCTGTTAACCACTTAATAGATGTTCCTTATAATCAGTAGAGCTGAATGCACCAAAAAAAAATTCAGAGCTTTCCCGAACTGTTAGATGTAATTCAAACTCTAGGTGATATGCTCAAGGCATAAAGAAGTAAAACAGTATTTCCGTTTTTGTGTCTTCCTTCCCAAAAGCCAAAATAATCATTTTTCACACAACCACAAAATTCCATCCAGGCTGCAGCTCCTTTCCGCCTTTTCTTTTTTGTCCTACAAGCCACCATTAAACCTTTGCCTACATTGATACATTGTTCTTGCCCCCCTTACCCTGAAAACCATGTAGCATCAAAACCTAAAGAGCAGCTCCAAACCTCCAACTCAGTCATGTGTGATTATGTTACTTTCTTGAAAGGAAGAGCGCTTCAATTCAAACTTCAGTATCAGTGTTAAAACTGTTATGGAGGTCTATGAGCTATCAAGTCACCCAATGTATATGTGACAGTACATCTTTGCATATGCGTAGAACTACTTTAGAGCAGTGATACACATCCATCGAATCAAAAGTTGCGGTAGCTGATATGACTGGATGGAGTGACTAATCAACAAAAAAAGTGTTTTTGAAAAGGATGAAGGTCAGAAATTAATAAAGATTAAGTCGAGACAATACCAATGGGACACTCTTCCTTGCAACTGGCTTTATGTGAACATCACCCTCATCAACTTCACCATCAACAACCACTTCTTCATCCTCGTCCTCCTCTAGCAAATCTGGTAATGTTTCAGTAGACCCAAAAGCTTCCATTGTACTGATATAACCCTTCTCAGACAATATGCTTATAACTTTTTCTTCCAATGATGATAATGCCTTTCTTCTTGGAATCTTGTTTTTAATTTGTAGCACTTCCACCAACTCATTGCCAGCAATTTCCTGGAAATGAATTTAGCACACATATATAACTGTAATCACAATGACTTGAGTGTTCAAATAACTGAATAACAAATCGTTTATAAATAAATAAACGAGTAGAAATATAATAGCAAGCGTAGCTAATCTGAAGAATGGAAAGAGCAAGTCAGACATACTGCGAGAACTACATCCAAATAGATTAGTGAACAAATATTTTGCCAATGCAGATATTCACGGTTATCAAAACTGAGACATGACATTAGATGAAATGGAATTGTGAGCGTAATGGATAAAATCTCCTATGCAAAAAATGCATAAAGTGACTCACTTTTTACAAATTAAATTAGGAGAACAAAAAAGATGAACTTAAAAAAAAAGCTCACAACCGGGTATTTGTCAAGCTTAAGATTGACTAGTTTATTAAAAGAATCGAGTCGAGCTTTAGAAAAATTAATGTGAAGGCGAACTAGAGCTTCCAGTATGGCTCCAATGATATTCAATTTTAAAGTACAATAACCAAGCCGAGTGCAAAACACTGGGAACTTGGCCTGGCTCTGCAATATGCCCATACATCATCTCCACTATCACCGGAGGCACTTCTCTTGAAATAAGGAACGTCCTTAGGAAAGCTCACAATAAGCCCCTTTTTCTAACAGTTGTGTGGATAATTTCCTTTTCTTTGGAGACCTTTCAAAAAGCAATTGATCCGTCCATGGAGAGTGGAACCTAGATTTTCACATCAAGGCAGATTTACTTGGTGTGTGTTTTCAAATTTTCTGTGTGAATAATATGGTACTTTTATAAACAAGAGACATCAAGGTTATGGACCTCCGACCTCCGCTTTTTTTATCAAGGCATCACATTGATGTTTTGTAGGATAACTCACTGATTGCTATCTAAAGGTGCGTAGAGAAGCTATCAAGTATCAACAAGCAACTCATACTGTATACTGACAATTTGCAATTCTTATGAAAAGCTGCCAGACTTGTTGTACACAGTAAGATCTCTGAAGAAGACAAATAAGGACTAGTCGTCATAATCCATGAATCTTGTTCCATTTTGTTGGACAGTGTAGTGAAGCTGCCAGAATGTTAGTATGAAGTTAGTCTCTCATCGAATTAAATATAAGACTAGTTTAGCACGAAGTTAGTCAGACACTAGTTAGATATAAAAATGGGATAGCATCTCACATCTTTAAGTAGGTGTCTTGTATTCCATTATCATCAAGTAATCAATATATCTCTTTGCTTCTCTTATCTCACACAGTATGAAAGCACGCAACAGTCCTCAGTTTGAGTTTGATTGCCATCCATCACCAACAAATATTTTCACGTGCTTAGCCAACGAAAAAAATCAGGCCCACTCGTGAGAAGACCTGTAGACCTAATAAATAAATAAATGACTCTAATAGTTTAAACTTTTAGGTGAGAAAATCACACAATTCAGCATGAAATCAGAGCCTGTATGATCTTAGTAGAGGTAGAGAATTAAGTAGCTTTGGCATGCTGGAGGGCATGCCTTATGTTGTTTGCCCGTGTAATATTTTTCTTTATTTTCTCTGCTCTTTCGGCGAAAGATGCCCCTCTTGTCTTTCAGGCAATTGGCACCTTCCTCTCTTCAGTGACATCGCACTTCACCCAATGCCTCTCTTCAACGACCTTTTGGACAGTTTCGTGTCTCTTTGCGATCCGTTCCAATGGAGCAGCACCTTTTTCCCATCACTGTTCCTGTCACACCATGCCTATTTTTGGTGACTGTTCGGGCAGCGACACAGCTCATTCCCACCATTTCCAATAGCAAACTTTTCTGAAAAGATTCTGATGACCAGAGTTTATTCAGCCAAATTTCCAACCTTAAGCAGGTTTCCTCACTTTGGGTTTGAGAGGGCACGTTAGAATGTAAAGAAGTAATGTTAGAATAGTGGTAAGTTTTGGTTTGAAATAAGTCCTCATCGGTTAGAATAGTGTTAAGTCTTAGTATGAAGTAAGTTGTCATGCCAGAGTGTTAAGTCTTAGTATGAAGTAAGTTGTCATGCCAGTATGAAGTAAGTCCCTCATTGTATCTCATGCCTTCAAATAGGAGTGCCTTGTATTCATTATCATCGTATGACTAATATATTTATTCCTTCTCCTATTTTCTAACAGAAGAATTAACAAAGATAATGGAGAAGACACGTTAGGCACTCTCTCGAGTGTGCTTAATGCAGAGGACCCCAACCCATCAGTTTGGACAAGAATGTTGATGAGATGCATAACTGTCCTATTTATATACTTTAGATGTTGTAGGGTAGAAATAAACAACACTTAGTAGGTGGTATGTTTCACTATTAAAGAGATCATACATACTTCGACTAGCTTATACAGCTCTTTAGGAGGTAATTTGATTGCATCAAGCATTTTTGGCTTTCCACATTTTTGCACTAAAGCTTCCACCTCTTTGCAGATACCCCGCACAGCATCCTGATAAGACAGTTGAAAAGAAAATGGCTTACTTGCTGCAACTTCTTCAGTTACATTTTGTTAACTGGTATTTATCATATAAATGTAAAAAAAATCACTGTTTACTGCTAAATCATCTATACTAGAAGCAAAGCAAAATCTCAACTGTAAGAGAGAGAAGTAAAAGGATAATTAAGAGTACAAATGAACGGATAAAAATGGGTCCATGGCCTGATTTTCAGAACATCACTTGAAAAACAGATTAGCCTTCCTCTCTCGTTGTAGACCAGTGATATTACTGCACAGCATCTTAAAGGGCTGATAACAGGCAATTCTGAGACTAGAAGCAAAAGATGTTACTGAAAGATTTAGTGTAGGCTAGGCAATGAGTAGTCACTATGAGGCATGAAAAGGCTTGGGATGATTGAGTTTCAGAAAGCTGTTTCCAAGTGAATATTTCAGCCAAGGTTTAGTCCCACCCGCCACACCTCCTGAATTACAAAGTTTGGCAATGATAACATATCTGTATCACTAGGAATATGCTGGCCAGAAAAGAAATGTGGCCTTGGAAAGCCTAAAATGGAGTTAAATACTATGTTGCTCAAGTAATATGGGTAGTTTGTGAGTCTTTAGAGTTGTCCTAACAGTTGTCCACTATTTGGATTGTTTCTTTATTTCAAGCAGCAGGGATGGTCACCTGAAAATCTTGCATTCAAGTTTGTTCACTACTGCATCAATATAATGTCAAAATAAATGCAATCTTGAAATTACTCACAAATCGACAAAGAGCTCCTAAGATTACCAATTTAGATCTGGTTTTGTTTCAACTTTTCCTTATATAGGCACTAATCTTTATAATTGGGACTAAGTTGAATTTATAAAATGTATGTTCAATTGATCCCTCGGCCCCCTTATTTCCTCTCCTCCCATTCTTGTTCCCTAGTTAGTTCTCTTAATCTCTGATCATTCCTTGCGGTTTCTACATTTTCCCACATTCTGTCAAGCCAGTGAACAGCCATAAAACCCCTCATTTTCAGTAAATGAGTAAAAATAGATATATAAGTCTATTTTATTCTCTGTTCAAACTGTTTAATTTTCTCCCATACAAGCAAGAAACAACCACAATTTATTCTCTGTTTTTGCACTGAGTGTTAAAACATCCTGAATCAATAGATCTTGTACATATGGCATCAGAGACAATGGGTCTTGTAACATGTAGAACTGGCAGGATGAATAATACTTCTCAAATACTGCCAAAATAATAAGTGTTGTCAAGCAGATTTAGCACCAGCAGTTCTGGAATATGAGGAGGATAGTGTGTATGCAGACCTTACCCCCATCCTGGAGGGCAAAGAGGTTATTTCCGATAGACCATCGGCTAAAGATTTTTCAGATTACAAGGATGATTATAACTACAATAACATACTAAAAGATCATACGCCCGAATCATAGCCATGCTTCCGTTAGTCCAAACAGGGATGATTGAAAATGATTTCAGGAGCAAAACAGGAAAAGAGGACCCTCACAGTAATGTGAAATTACAGCATGCTGTAGGGCGTGACAAATAATTAAGAGCATAGACACGAATAAACATTTTATTCCAAGCAACTACTACTTGAGCGCCTCTTACTAGAAATTGAGTAGATTAAAAATAACTTTGATTGGACCAAACTAGGATAACAATTTGATAAACTGGACTTAGAACAGTAACATAAATTTAAGATAAAAACCTGCCCAACTTCTACAGCTTCAAGCAACTTGTCCTCCGGAAGAAAATCACAATACCCCTGTAACAACAAGATTAATTAGTACTGAATTTGATGACACTAACTACTATAGGCAAGTGGCATCTATATCGTAGGAAGAAAAACAACTGATCATAGTGTTAGTAGAATATTTCATGCACACAGCAACTGCCTGACAATTTCATAGTATGCTATTTGTTAATCATTCAAATTTTTTTGGATTTTATGCATTACATTTTGTAAGTGGATTTATGACCTACGGAAAGCAGGTGCTCATCTTCTGTACCACTGTCTAGGCTCGCATCATACTGAACACTTAGATAGACTGGATCGTAACAGGTACCACTCTACGCTCCTTGGGTAGAAGAATATTCAATTTTTATGCTCTCTCATTTATCATGAAGCTTTTACTAGATAGAAAATCTACCTCAATCATCAATATTGCATTGTTTGTGCCTGCTAGTAACAAATCCAACTTCGAGTTTTCCATTTCCTGAATGGTTGGATTCACAATGAACTTATCACCAACAAGACCAATTCGAACTCCTGCTATAACTTCTGAACTTGGTACTTCTGACAAAGCCCTGTTGCACAACTTGAAAGAAATTGCCTCAAATTACCATCAGTAAACCAGCCTTTACTAGCGTAGGAATGGAAGAGCATCAAGGCGAATTTGCTTACATAGCAATTCCAGCAGCCGTAACTGCCAAGGCATCTGGTGGATGCAAACCGTCATAACTTAATACCTTCAAAGTTACAATGATAGTGCAACTTAAAAGGCCACATCAAGACATTCGAGCACACTATCAAAGGAACATCAACAAATATTAAGAGGATGGTTGCAAGAAAGCATATGAGCTTACCCAAGAAAGTACTTGAGTTTCATGGTAGAATCCCTTAAGCATGGTTGGACGTAAAGGCCTATCAATCAATCTACAAATGAGAACCTGCAAGAAGCAAGACATTTCAATACAGACAACAGTATTGAGACCTTGTATAACATAAAATATTAGCTGTGTTTTAGCAATGGCATCCAAGAAAAAAGCATTCAGTTCCTATAGATAGAAATGTCGTCTTTCAGGTTATCACAATCTTAGAAAGATTGACAGGATTACCAACTCCAAAGGCTCTTACACACACAATAATTTTCTCTTCAGCAAGGATATAGTACATACCCTCCACCATCTCTCCTCCTTTTTCACAAAATGACAAAGTTTTCTCATCCATCCTATAGCAGTCAGCATTGCAACTGAAAATCAGATGTGTTGTAAATCATGGTCTAGCTTGTAAGATATGATATATGATTTTGTCATGGACCTTTCAGATACTCTGACCTTCTCAGTGAGATCCAATACTTTATAGATATAGGGGTATCTTTTACTAATAAATTGGAAGAGGCCAGAGGAGAAACGAGTCAAAAGACATCTAAAAATTTTTGCAGCCCTACTTTTAAATATTATATTGTTATTGTTAAGAATATTGTGATATTATTAAAAATATGTTATATATCAATTGGAATCAGTAGGAATTAATACTTAATATATATATAAAGAAAAGGCATCAGTAGAAATTAATTTGGGAGATTATTGTTTGTATAATTATGTGACCTTGATATTCTTTCCTACTTAAGAATAGGTTACATCACTGATATTGGGCATATATGGTTTGATAGTAATTTACTTGCTGTTAGATAGTTATATAGTTAATGTAATTAGTCTGAGTCCCATATTGAGTAGGAGTAGGATCTGTATTATGTATAGTTATAAATAGGGCACATTGTATTATAACTAATTAACCAAATGCAAGATTTTTCTCCCGTGCATTCTCACATGGTATCAGAGCAGGACCCATCCCGATTTTCCGATGTTGGGCCCCCATAATTGTCCACGCTCCAGATGTCCAGTCCTGGGCGTAAGAGGGGGTGTTGAGTCCCACATCGACAATGAAGGGGATGGGTGGTCTCCTTATATGGACTTGGGCAATCATCACTTCTTGAGCTAGCTTTTGCGGTTGAGTTAGGCCCAAGTTTTTAACACAGCTTATTATGCCTCTTTACTAAAGACAACCCTCACACTCATCTAATGTCACTCGTAGTTGATGTTTTCGGTTCCAAAAATGGGGGCCTAGTAATTCGAGTCTTATGATTACCACAGAACCTTGATAGGTAGCACAAACTAATTAATAGTTATCTTTTGTTCAGTTATGGTATAAACGACAAGGTGTTTGTTTTTGAGAAACCCATATTGCTGGATGGATGCGTTCTTAACCTCGGAGTTTTTCTTCCCGCCTTTCCCCCAACTAAAATCACTCTAAGCACTCGGTATCTTCATGAGAAATTCTCGCCCCATGAGCTAGCTTTTGAGTTGACTTAGGCAGCTAAGGTCCATTTTTTAACATGGTACCAGAGTGAGGCTCATGCTTGTTATTGTTTTTCTCTATGTTGGGCCGCCATATTATATTGTCCATGCTCCAGTTGGCAAGTCCAGGCATAAGGGGTGTTTAGGATCACACATCGGTAGAGGATGGGTTGTTTGTCTCCTTATATGTTCCCGAGCAATCCTCGCCTCTGAGCTAGCTTTCAGGTTGAGTTAGACCCTAGGTTATGTGAAGCACCCCACAGTAGTAGATAAATGATTGTGGTCTCTTTATATGGTCTTGAACAATGATGGAGCAATTTAATGAGTTGAAGCCCATCTCCACAGACAAGTGGAGTAATGATAGAAGATGTTTTTAGTCCTTACACTTGCTGAGCTTCAATTGGATTTTGACTCCATGCATGACTAAGTCTTGGCTAGTTTTATTATACCAACCGTGGATGACTTGTTCTCTCGCTTACCATGAGTTGTTGCACCTCCTGCTACACCACCTTATCACATGGTGATCTCATCTTCAACAAGAGACTTGTTCGTCGTAGCATCTTAGGCTATTGATTGGGTGGTTGTTTTGGAAAATCCCGACACAAAGTTGTACTTATTGTCGTATGATGTGTCACTCTTTCTTTTTCCTTGACAGTGGCTGTCTTTATATACCATCCTTTGCTGCCTGGTGTACTACCATTTCCTGCAAATCTCTCCTACACCTTCTAAAGCGTATCTCATCACCTGGCATATGTACATCAGAATATTTTGACTAATATGGATGATTGTCATGAAGTTTTTCTGCCTCCCATCTCTATCAATTTGATGGCCCATCTTTGTTTACATCGGAAGTTTTCTTTCTGACTACGAATAAAAATTTCCCTCCCATAGTCAAAAGGGAATCAGTGAAATGCAGCTAAGTTTTTTATTCAATTACCTTTCTCACTGCCGCATACTAAGCTTAAATTACTCAGTCATTATTTCAAGACCCAACTAAGTTGAAAGAAAAGGTTTTGAACTGTAATGTAACTGAGATGTGATCGATAGGGAACTACTACTATGCCTAAATTCCAAGCAAGTTAGGATTGGCTATGAGTCCTCACTGATCATGTTGCTCCATTTCAGCTCATCTCAGACCGATATGCCAATCAATGCTTAGAATCATCCGAAATTCATAAGACACAAGGTAACTACAACAGAAGGTTGTGCAACAATTAGCTTTGCGCAAGAGAAAACTAAGAGAACTAACCCATCCCACAGAACACATACCATGGTCTTGAAATGCCTAGAATAACACTCACTCAATCTGCACTACTGACCATTTCAGAACAATCTGGACCGTCATAGTGTAGTTGAGCCTATTGCTTAATCTCAAAATGCTATAGAGTATTAAGAACCAAGATTCTTAACATACAAAATGTGTGACAGACCATCATGATATCATAGCACAAGGACGAGATAACAGAAAATGAATTGTAGCTTACCTGGTTACAAATAACTAGTCAATCCACATGTATAATCATTAGGAAGGACCAAGTGCAGCAGTAACAAGAGAACCGTGTGAAGACAAAGAATGAACATCTACACAGGATACTCACATCTGTCCATTTCAGAACAGGCTAAAAATGGAAATTTAGATGACCTAAAGTACCAGATTCACAGGACTGTAACCAGTTTATTTGCTAAACCCAAATCCCTGAGAGAAAAAGCATGTGATTTACTCTATTAAAATATTTGCGAAGTAAACCTAAGAATCTCACAAGACTTGCCATTTAGCAACCTCAAAATACTTACTATCCTTATTTGTTGACTACGTAAGCGCGTTATTGGAAGGACAGGGGACGTTTGCAGGATGGCCTGTTTATCAGACGAACTAAAATTAAAGAATCGAATTTCTTCATTCTAAGCTGCATGACGCAGCTGTGGTTGTTTCAATGGAAGTGACCACTTATAAAATGCTAATCTAAGTACCTTATCCAAAAAAAAGGCTAATCTAAGTTTAATGAGGTCCCACAGTCTATAGAGGTTGGGACCCCATTATAAGTTTTTATAGTATCCAAAAATATGAGATTTGATGTTGCTTTGCATTTCCCTTTTGTTGCAATTTTAACAAGTGATATTATCACATTTTCTAAAGGAGCCCTCAAACATAAGATCAACTTGTTCTAAACGACATTCAATCATTGGTATTCATGCAAAACATTGATAAAATTTCTGCATTCGAAAAGATGTTCTCATAAATATCCAAAAAATCTGAAACACATAAGAGTTTGGACCTGGAGGACAAGAAACTGTTTATATTTCTTTGATCCCTGAAAGTGAATTCAGCATCAAAGCCAACTTAATTATATGTAATTAAGGTAATCATTACTCAGTTAAACTTACACAATATCTATTTTGGTATCCAAAAGTTATGCAATATCTATTAAATTGAATATCAGAAATCAGGTGCTAGTATTTGCATATTCCAGACTTACTTTAGCCCATAATCATATTATTCACAAAAAACATCTCATGTACTTTGACAAAAAAGTAACTCTCTCTTGGTGGAAGTTAACACTAATAGAGCATTTTTGCCATAACAAAAGCAGCCAACTACCAGAGAGCATCTATTCGAGATTCCTCAGTTCCTTTTACATACATGGCATGGTTGGATAATTTTGCATAGATCATTAATAACACAACTTCCTAGAGAATCATATCCACCTGTTTCAAAAACGTATATGCAACTGTGAATTGAAGTGCAATTAATCTAGAAGTTAATCCCAAGCAGCAGCATATGTGCATAAACACATCTTTTATCAATTAAAAATTGTACTTCTATCTGGAATCTAGGCAGAAGCTTACGATCAAATACAAAATTTTAAGACCAGAATCACATAGTACCTCATGATCTTTTGTCCTCCCCTCTCGTTTAAAAAATCCCCCACTGGAAAATGCAAATTTAGTAAGAACAAGTACATGGTATAGACTAAAAAAGAGAAGGCAAAGGAGTGGTGCTAAGCGGAAGTGAATGAATAGAAGCAAGTTTTACTAGACCTACCTCGTCCGACCAGCTGCTGAAAAACGTTCTTGATAATGAACAGAAAGAGGGAAAAAATCAGAAGGCTCGCTTGGGACATCAGCTAAACAAACAGTTGTATAGATAATCTACAAAACAAAAACAAAAAAACATCTCAATATAAGCATACTGATCCAGGAAATTGCCAAGGATAGATCTTACAAGCAACATTTCCACCATCTAAGTTAAATACTGAAAGGACAACTTTTTTTCTTTGATAGGTAATACCGAAAGGACAACTTGATGCTGATTGAGAAAAAATTACCACCCATTAAATAAGCTGTTAAGGGATGCAACATGATCGCGTCAATGTTGGATCAACAGGTTGAGAACTATAAAAACTTCCATTCTTCAAGTGAAGCATATAAGAAGTTAAGAAACTCTATGGTCCATCAACATATTTCATGATGCAATTGCATAAAAGCATAGAAAGAAGGGGTGAACAATTTGCAGAGAAAACCGAGAGTTTAATCAATCAACTACACCTCATTTGGATGCAAGTTGGGTTCCTCCGTAGCTATTATGCTCTTTACGGCTGTCTCATTCCACTACTTCTTTGCTACTCCCTCCATCCCAATTTATGTGTCAGTCGGTCCCAAAAGAATGTCACCTTTCCTTAGTTAAAAATAATTTATCTTTAGGATTTCTACTTTACCCTTAATGAATTGATTTACAACCACACAAATATCTATGGTTTCTTTTAGACAACAAGTTTCAAAAGTCTTCCTTTCTTAGACTCCATGCCAAGTCAAACACTGCCTCATAAAGTGGGACGGAGGGAGTAATAGACAATTTGACTTAAGATTAGGGGTTCTCTAAATAACACACTTATCCCTACACTAACAAGTCTCTAATCATAGTAAAAAGACTTGGTAAATGCCGGACCTAATCTTAGTGTAAAAACAACAAGTAAGCTTAATTCCTTTGTTATCACATCTATGGATCTTTAACTTACGTGGTTTTCTATTGTTGCCTGAACTCATAATAATTTTGAGAATTGTAAGTCTTTTGAGACAACTATCTTCTATAGGATTTTTACATATACCTCCTCCCAATTGCATATTTGATCATCATAATGTCACAACTAGAAGAGCGCACGTGGAGATCTACGTAATACACGGCCAAACTATCTCAAGAAACCCTCTCTCATTTATCCTTTAAGTGTGTTACTTGCACCCTTTTGTCAAATATAATCCTTCTAATCTTATCCAATCTTACTAAAGGTACGCCCATCCATCTTGTGGATATACAAGAACTCAAAGGCCCACTTTTGCTCCTATATAACTTTTGTTTCTTTCACTACCATTTTATAAAATTTATCTTTCACCCTGTTAGTTATCTTTCTATCGCATAGTATACATGTCGCACTCCTCCTCTTCAACCATTATGTTCTAGTTCTCTCAGTTACATCTCCATCTACTTTATCATGACTGCATCTAGATATCTTAGTTGTCCACATATAGGCACCACAATCTCGTCTAATTTCAATTTACCTACATTCTTCTCAATAGATCCCGTTGTTGGTCGACTCCATTATTCGTTTCAACAATTAGCACAATATCATCTGTAATAGTATCCATTTGTAGAGCCCCATCGTATGTAATACCTAGAGAGGGTAAACAAGTATGGGTTCAAGATAAATCCATAGTGTACAAACACGGTTATGAAAAACTCCTATATATTTCCTTCCTGCTGTTCTCACACTTGTGACCGCTCCATTAGCAAAACTTTAGCCCTAAAAATTGCTATGAATAAGTAGTCATCCAAACACAAAATTATATTTTATCAGTCTTAAATAAGCATTTCAGAATACCTATCAAAACAGCACCTAAATAGCTCACCATTTTCATGGAAAATCAGTCAAATGAACACCATGAAAGGGGTTTATAGCCTTACACCAAATAGACAAGAACATTGTGCTATCTCATATAATGGTATTTTGAAATAAACTGAAATTGTACCACTGCAGTCTAACCAAATATACTAGCGCAACAGCACAAATCCCATACGTATTACCACAAAGACCCAATCATTTGATAGTTAAAGCTTCTCAGAATCATGATGCATGCACTATAGAATTGGTAAAACGTCCTTCATGTAGGTCCTGTTTACTTTCTCGTCTAAAGTTTTGACACCATGCTTACTTGTTCCTCCACTAGACATGAACACAATAACAGGAAGCTATGTATATAATACTTTTTTAGCAAAGATTTTAAATAATATTTATAACAAGAAGAAAAAAATTTATATGAGATTTATTACAAAAATAATGTTCTTTTCTTTATAAGACATACTAAAAGGAAAAGATTTTGTCTTAATCAGCACAAAATGTCATTACTAGTAAAGTCCCATCTATACTCAGAGGCAAACCAAGAATTTGAAGATAGCGTCTATCACCGGACTTGTTATCAGACACTGGTGCAAATGGAAGTGTGCATTCAGTTGGTTTGATTGCTTTTCATTAATAAGACTAGTGTATTTAGTTCTTGGTTCATAAATAAAAATCCTGATGACATAAGCGTGAATCCACCACTACACCACTAAGGATATTGTATTCCTAAATATGTTCCAAATAATTAAAAGAAAACTAGTGCTCTGTCTGGCAAGAAGAATAATAAATTAGACAAGTATCATATTTAGTTCATGACAAGTTCAATGGAGCACATATTCAATTCTCAGCTAGAAGCACATGAAACTACGGATCATTCGCCGAAGTAGAGAAAAAGTTAGAAGCTTGATATTTAACAGACATGATATTTCACCGTAAACTTTAGCACGTATAATTGAAATGAATTAAGAATAACTTTTACCATCACCAAGAGTTGAAAGGCCAAATGTTACTAAGAAACAGTTCCTACATTTTCAAAACCTTGATACATATGCTCATAAGTTATTGAATCTTGAAATAGTTAAAGCAACAAGGGTCTTCCAAAATATTGAAGCAAGACCACAGCTATTTTTATCTTAAAATAAATGTTTTATAAGTTATCATCAAAAGGCAAACTAATAAGTAGTTTTTATTTTTCAGTTGATGATTTTAGAAAGACAAAAAATGGATTTCTCTTTTAGAAAGAAAAGGAAAATATGTCGTCATTTGAGAAGGGACTTATGTAATTAATTAGGTTGTATATGCAAATTGAGTTTTAACCTTAGACAAGAAAGTAAACAAAGAATTGGATTTTCAAATCAAGGGCAGATTCACCTCTTCCGATACTTTTAAATCATTAATTTGGGATCAAAGGCTCTTGGTAATGGATTTAGAGATCATGAGGAACAGGAAGAAGAGGGCGTTATATGGTCAACCTACGATCAAGTGGGGAACCTTCACTACGGACAAAGCTCAAGAGCTGGGGGAGAAGTTGCTGGCTCTGGGGATCTCAAGGAGTAGTGGGGACACGAGTGGTATGTGGACCACGACAGCGAATTGCATTAGGGAAGCTGCTAGAGGGGTATTAGGGTCTCGAAGGGTTTACTCTAGTGGTCACAAAGGGGACTGGTGGTGGAATGAAAAGGTCCAAGGAAAAGTGGAAGCCAAAAGAGTTGCATATTTGAAGCCAGTGAAGAGCATAGACGAGGAGGAGAAAAGGACTAATAGGGAGTGATATAAGAAGGTTAAAAAGGAGGCAAAATTAGCGGCAACGGCAACTAAGGCTGCAGCAATCAGACGTCTGTATGAAGAACTTGGGGACAAAGGCGGGGACAAGAGGTTGTTCAGGCTAGCCAAGGTAAGAGAAAGGAAGGCATGTGATATGGACCAAGTGAAGTGCATCAAAGACGAGGAAGGCAGAGTTTTGATGGAAGAGGCACATATTAGACGTAGATGGCAAACATACTTCCATAAACTCTTGAACAAAGAGGGGGACAGGAACATTGTATTGGGTGATTTGGAACACTCCGAGATACGTTGTGATTTTGGGTATTGTAGGCGTATTAAAGTTGCGGATGTCGAGGGAACTATGCGTAAGATGAACAGGGGTAGAGCGACCAAGCCAGAAGAAATTCCGGTGGAATTTTGGAACAAAGCTGGCAGGGCCGGCTTGGAGTGACTCACTAAGTTGTTTAATGTCATTTTTAAGATGAAGAAGATGCATGACGATTGGAGGTGGGGTACGATGATCCCATTGTACAACAACAAGGGGGATATCCAAACTTGCAATAACTATAGGGGGCATCAAGTTGCTAAGCCATATTATGAAAGTTTGGGGGGGTATGGAAGTGAAGGTGAGGAGGAGTGTGTCTATTTCCGAGTTCTAATTCATGCCACGGCGTTCAACTACGGAAGCCATTCACTTTGTTAGGAGAATGGTGGAGCAATATAAGGAGAGAAAGAGGAACTTGCATATGGTGCTCGTTGACCTAGAAAAAGCATACGGCAAAGTCCCAGGGGAGGTCCTGTGCAAATGTTTGGAGGCTAGAGGTGTGTTTGTGCCTTACATTAGAGCGATTAAGGACATGTATGATGGAGCTAAGACACGGGTGAGGACAGTGGGAGGAGACTCAGAACACTTCCTGGTCGTGATGGGGTTGCATCAGGGATCAACCCTTAGTCTATTTTTACTTGCCTTGCGGATGGATGAATTTTCGTCTCACATTGAAGTAGAGGTTCCATGGTGCATGTTATTTGCGGATGATGTTGTACTGATTGACGAGACGCGAGGCGGTGTTAACAGAAGGTTGGAGGCTTGTGGACAGACCCTGGAGTCTAAAAGTTTCAAGCTAAGCAGGACCAAAACAAAATACTTGGAGTGCAAGTTCAGTGACGTGACTCATGAAGCGGATATGGACGTGAGGCTTGATATACAAGTCATCACTAAGAGAGGAAGATTCAAGTATCTTGAGTCGGTAATTCAAGAAAATGGAAAGATCGACGAAGATGTCGCACATCGTATTGGAGTGGGATAGATGAAATGGAGGCTCGCATCCAGTGTTCTGTGTGATAAGAATGTGCCACCAAACTTAAGAATAAGTTCTACAGAGAGGTGGTTAGACCAACTATATTGTATGGGGCAAAGTGTTGGCTAGTCAAGAATTCTCATGTATAGAAGATGAAGGTGGCAGAAATGAGGATGTTAAGATGGATGTGCGGGCATACCAGGATAGATAATATTAGGAATGAAAATATACCGGACAAGGTTAGGTGTGACCTCGGTGGAGGACAAGATGTAGGAAGCGAGGCTTAGATGGTTCATGCATGTGAATAGGAGAGACATTGATGCCCTAGTAAAGAGATGTGAGAGATTGGCCTTGGAGGGTGTGAGAAAAGGTAGAGGTCGGCCAAAGAAGTATCAGGGAGAGGTGATTAGGCAGGACATAGCGCTGCTTCAGCTTACCAAGGACATGACCCTTAATAGAAAGATGTCGAGGTCGAGAACTAAAGTAGGAGATTAGTGGGTAGCCATGAGTTTTCCTTGTCCATGCTAGTAGTATTAGTGTTGGTCTTGTATTTTCTTATTTTTAGATTTCTATTACTACTTGTGTCTGTTGCTTCGGTTTTCTTGCTATCTTGTTATTATTACTCCCTGTTGCTACTACTTCTCTTTTCATCTCACCTTGAGCTGAGGGTCTATCGAAAAGAGTCTCTCTGTCTGCTCATGGTAGGGGTAAGGTCTGTGTCCACATTACCCTCCCCAAACCCCGCTTGTGGGATTACACTGTTCTGTTGTTCTTGTTGTTGGGATCAAAGTTAACCTATGTCTCTCAGTTGGATTCGCACTAAACAAGATAAGTTTATCACATTACCAACTCAAGTATGGCTCTTGTTTTGATGAGTCCGACTTGACTACATATCTCTTGTTACTGGCTTCTTCTGAGGGTCCCAAGTCTAAACTGCAAAATCAAATTGACTAGAGCAACAACCCGAAGCATGGTTTACCCTACAGCTTATATCTGTTAATCAAGTCCGCTAATCTTCAACTCGCAAACTTAGTTGATTCAGAGGTTTATTATAGCAATCAATTTCGCTATTCCACAATACATACTTTCTCAAGGTCATAGACTAAAGCACTTTCGTTTTTCCTTCCAAACATGACTCCCAGTTAAGTTGAGCGTTGGTCTGGTTCTAAGCCCGTTTACCCTCCAAAAACACCACCACACTTGAACCAAAATAATCTTTTTTCATTTAGAATATGACCAAGACAAAATAAGGTTGAAAAAGATAAATATTGAAAGAAAATAAGTTATTATTGGCTGGGAAGAACAAGGAGAAAGGAATTGAAAGGAAGAAAAAATTGGAAAGTGAAAGAGAAGAGAATCAAAATAAATACATGACAGCAAGCTCTGTTAGTTGGAAGGAAAAACTAACCACTGACTTTAGCCTATACCCTTGAGAAGATTTGCATATAGGATCACCACTGCGCTTTAGTCTAAAACCTTTAGAAGGTTTGTGTAAATTTTCAATGGCCAAGGGATATTTGTGCCATTAGCACAAAATAGTGCCATAAAATGAAACTCGCCCTATTTTGTAATGTTCAAAATCCATAGAATTTCGATTGAATATTCTTTTCCTAATATGTTTCGAATACTTGGAAAAAATGTAGCTTAAACAGTTCTAGGTTACGTAAAAACAATTGTATGTATAATGTATTAATAAAAGCCTGGCTCCTTCCCATCTCTGCTTCTTTTTTACTTATTTTCAATATCTTGTGTCTTCATCCAAAATTCATCTAACATAGCATGTCAAGAAAATGGATGGTGAAGATTCATATAACCAAGCCAACTAGCCTGTGATTGAGGCATAGCTGTTTTTGTTGTTGATAATGAAGTAAGATGTGTCTACAAAGTGCCTTTCGTTAAGTTTCATAGTATTGCAGTGACTGAGAGAATTTTGAGGTGTTCTGCTCATTAAGGTAAATGAAAGAGAGAGAAATACAAGAATCTTCTCCAAATACATTTTGAGAGGTGGATTTGCGGGCAAGTTGTCTACTCACACCGATCAAAAAAAGTTGTCTACTTCCCAAAAAAACACAAATGTGTTCACAAAAAAATTACACCATCAATTGGATAGGAAGCTGGATGCAACAATCCTCCATCGACACAAGGTTGTGAATAGAGGAAAACAACTTACAGTTTCTCCATCTGTAACTGTAACTGCCCCACTAGCCTGCCTCCCTATAAGACCTGTCTCAACCGTTATCTGTAAAAGTGCAATAAACTGATTCAAAAGATAGATAGCTCAATAGCTCAGGAAGCTTATTGTATTAGTTTCAAGTTGGATGGATCAAGAAATAGACAACTCAATAGATTAATTTGGAAAATAGATGAAGTAAGATTTAAGAACATAGACCGCATAATAGCTCAAGTTAACTATAGAAAATATTGTATATGTTTCCCCATTCCAGCATTTCATTAACTTAGATTGTGGAAACTAAAATGATATCTGTCACTTGTCATTTTCCTTCACAACTATCCGAAATCTTACTCCTGCCACTTGCTTCAACCAACACTTGACATTGTTTTGAGTATTTAATATTCAAAAGATATCACCAAAATAGTATCATGAAACCATCTTATACAATTATCACATATCACTTACTTTATACTCAACCAAACACTAGAAAATTATCAAAAATTAATTTCTCTAGGTGAAGCANTTCTTCTGGTATTTTGCTTTCCTTGAAAGCATTATGACAACATTGAATAAGTGATTGACTCACTTGTTGCCAATATGTTTGAAAAATATATGGATGATATCCATCCGTGCCAGGTGCTTTAAATGGTTGGAATGAGAAGATTGCATGTTTTATTTCAAGCAAGTGCATTGGTTTGGCCAAATATTGTTGATCATCGTAATTTAATGAGTTGATTATTTGGTAATTTTTTGTGATATTCTTAGTGAAGCAGTGTTGTGTTTTGAAAAGGTCAGTGTAGTATTGAAGTATGGAGTTTTGTATTTCCGTTGGATCAAAAGTCCAATTCCCTACACTATCTTTTAAAGCATTTATGCGATTACGTCTACGTCTCTGTAAAGTAGACATGTGGAAAAATTTGGTGTTTGCATCACCGTCATTTAACCAATGGATTCTTGATTTTAATTTCCAAAAGTCTTCTTCTTGCCTAAGCAAATCACTAAATCATGAGTTAGTTGTATTTCTAAGGTCCGGAGGAAATGGCTAGTAGGATAGTGAATTGATTTTTGTATGCCATTAATTCTATTTAATAATTTCCTTTTTTTGTGAAAATGTTCCCAAAAGTATGCTTGTTCCAATAAGTTACATTCTACTTAAAATTTGTCATAGCTTCTACTAAAGATGAGCTATGTTGCCATGACTGTTGTATTACATTAATAAGGGAAGGGTTTGTAGTCCATATTTTTTTAAAACGGAATATGTTATTTCTAGGAACCCTATTTTGTTGAAGTGTGACCAGAACAGGACAATGGTCAGAGTATGTGCGTGGAAGGTGTTGCACTACTGTTTCTGGGGAAATTTGAAGCCAGTCAGAGTTAGATAGTATTCTATCCAATCATTCTAGGATAGTATTCCCATTCCTACGTTTGTTTGTCCATGTATACCGACTACCCTTAAACCCTAGGTCTAGTAAGTTAACATAATTTAGACATTGAGCAAAAGCATCCCCCCTTGCGTTGTTAATAAGATTTCCTCCATATTTTTTATTTTATCTAATGACCTCATTAAAATCCCCTCCAACTAGCGAGGGACCCTTATAAGAGTCATGTACACATTTTAAATTATGCCACAATAAGCTACGTGATGGAATAAAACTATTTGCATAAATCGAGGAAAGCAACCACTTAGTAGCGTTAGGCAATACCTGGACCATACAGTTCACCTCCTGTGTAGTCATTGTTAGATCCACAATTACCAAATCTGCATTCCATAGTAAAGTTATACCACCCGACATTCCTTGTGCCTCAACTTGTGCCATGTGCGAGGAGTTAAAATCATTTTTTAAAACTATGTGATCATGCATGTGTGTCTCCAGTAGTGCAACTAAGACAGGTTTGTAGTTGTCCAACAATGATCTAAACTGTCGTCTAAATTCTGCATTATTTGAGCCCCTACAATTCCAAACGATTAGATTCATAATAGGTTGTTGGTTTTGTGGTTCATCTAGGTCCGCTACTTCTCGTCCTTCCCAATGATGCTTGATAGTTTTGCTGTGTTGGAGTAGTCATTCTCAGAGATGGTATTATCACCATCGAGTATTTTCCCTCCTGTTGGTTTTGATTTACCCTGAAGTTTACACTGCATGTTGTTAGTTCTAGAGGGAATTTCAGTATGAATTTTTTTGCGTATTGTTCTTTTGAGGCTGTAGAGATAGAACCCCTTTAGCCATATGAACTCTGCTCGTGTTTCTCTCATTTCCTCCGTTATTTGTTCTAATTCCAACCTTGTTGCTCTCCTAGTTCGTTAGGCGATGGAGGTGGAGTCATTGGAGGACTGAAGAAAGGTGATAGTGGTTCCTGAATCGCTCGTTGGTGACAGATTCATTTCTGGTGGGGAGAAGGTATTCATGTGTTGAAACCAGGGTGCATAGATCATCCCCGTGTGATGTTGGGGGTAGAAAGGGAGAGCCCCCAGAACTTGATGGAAGTTGTGAAGTGGGGGAGTTATAGGATATACCCATGGGGACTGGGTCAATGGTGAGGCCCTCGTCTGGTCCAACAAGAGTGGTGTGTGAATGTTTGACCCTTATGTTTGAGCTACTGCCTCCATCCCTAGCCTCATCCCATCTGTGACAATCTCTGCTAGATGGGTAGGGTTTTGAACTAGTAGATTGATCTCCTGATTGTTGAGTTCCAGCGTGAAGATTAGAGAGTAACCCTGAAGTCCCATCTCGATCCATGACTGTAGAGGGTACTCCAATGGTGGTGTTTGGGAGGTGTATATCAGTGGTGTGGTGGGGTTGGGATGAGGTGGACCGCTCATGATCAAACGTGGGAAGTGGAAGTGTTGGTGCTTTAGTTGGTGGGTTTCCCTGAATGTTGTGTACCAAGGTCTTTGCATGGTGTTCAGAGGTGGTAGTGTGAGTTATATCGTGTTCTGGCAATATGTGTTGTAGTGGGTTGAGATTGTTTGTTGGTTTGGTTTCAATAGGGAGGGGTGTGACTGAGTTAGTATGCGTATTAGGCGTAGGGTCTAGGGTAGATAATTGCTGATCACATGGAGGGTTATGATTATTTGGCAGTGGAGGTGGAGAAGAGTGTATCTTAGGCGAGGAAGGTAACGTTGGGATTGGGCTGTTGTGGGTGGCATGCAGAGAGACAGATTGTAAGTGGTTGGAGATGGATTTTGTGTATATTTTGTCAGTGGTTGGGGCTGAGTGTCGTGTGTTGGAGTAGTAGTAGATTTCGACACTCCAGCTGTATTGTCTAATGTAGGGTAGGGGGAGATATGAGTGTCCATTTGATCTTCTATAGGTGGATCGTCACCCGTAATATTATTTGTATTATAATTAGTAGTACTTAGTGGTGTAAGGTTGGTATTACTTGAGTCCTTAATGGTGTTATTAATTATTACGGAGTGATTATTGAAAATGCAATACTTAATTGGTGCTAGTTGGTCTGTGTCCATTAGGACCTCGTCTACTATATTTGGGCTATTTGGGTTATTGTATTTTCTTGGTGTAGGCCCAGGCCCGTTATGTCCAGTGTCCGCTGTAGAGTCCAAATTTTTTACTTTTATCAAAAATTTTAGTAGTCAATACTGGATTAGGGTTTATAGACATACTTATTTTAACATGCGTGAGTTGTGTGGCCATTGCCTTACATTTGCTCATATGGTCAGCATGTTGTTGATTATGGCGTCCATCTGTGTGGCTACATTGTTGGTGCTTGATGTATCTGGCATTTGTTCTTTTTGGAAAATTAACAGTTTTCCACTCTGATTCCTTTGTCGAAGGGATGGGGGATGGAGGGTGTATATGGGAGGTATTGATAGGTGAAGTTGGTATCGAGTTTAGGGGTGGTGCTTGGGAAAATCGGCAACTCCAACTTGCACGACCAAATCTGCCACACCTAGTACAGAGTAGGTTGAGTCCTTCATAGAGTAAAACTTGTTTGTAGGTGCCCAGATGAACACGTGTTTTAAGAGGTTTTTCAAATGGCACCTCAATACATATTCGTGCATACCTTCCTCGTGTAGTGGAAGTTGTGCAAGTATCAACTTTTAGTAGCTTCCCTATCTTGTTCCCATCTTTCTACAGAATTTGAAAATCGTAAAACTCAGTGGACAGTTCTGGTAAACGTACCCATAGAGCAGCATATGTTAGTTAGGCTGCTGAAGCAATAAACTTGGGTTCCCAGCGACGAACGGAGAGGAAATAATTTAATATGAACCAAGGCCCTTCGTGCAAAGCCTTATACATATTTTCCTCATAACGAAATTTAATAAGGAAAAAATTACATCCCAAATCTATGAGATGACTTTCCTCAGTTGGTTGCCAAATATTCATTAGTTTTACCTTTAGTAGCTGGCGTCCAACTGTTCTGCCAAAGACCTTGACAATAATGGAATTTTGCCAAGGAGTGTATAGGCGAGCCTTGTCTTCAGCGGTTAAAGGTATAAAATCGTCGGAGTCATCCTCATTAGAACTTTCGTCAGTTAAGTCGACTAGTGTTGACGGATTGTGTGTTTGAAATGTAAGTCGGTAGGTGTGAGTTTGATGTTAGTGTTTGTAGAAAAGATTTGGTTTGTGGTTGAATGTCCGGTTTGTCAATTTGCATTTGGTGTTATTGGTGGATCCATTGCTGTGGCTAGGTGATGAAACAGTGTAGATGGAGAAGAGGAAGGAGCATTTCTTTTAGCCCTTTAAACTTTAAAGTGGGAGCAAAGTACGTATACAGTACTTATATACATATATAACCAATCTTCTACCTAGTATAAATGTATATAGTAATATACAAAATGTAATGTCAACCTAATATAAAAGTGTATAACAATAGTATAAAAGTATATAAACGTCGCTAACGACACTTATGAACGCCTTCTACGATTTTCAGTTACAATGCTTGTTCAAAACCAGTCCAAATCTCCACCAAATAATTTTAAATTAGTAGACAACCTCCATTAACTATTTTCAACAAATCTAAACAACACCTGCTACAAAGTTCTCATATAAATCAGATTTGAAATTTAAACTCACTTCTTTATGTTTGTTCAACAATGGTAGGTTACTTTCCTAATCCAATTTTCACCATCTAAATGTTACAAAACCAGTAATTTAATCACAGTTTGAGCTTCAAGTACAATAATAAATCAAATTTATGAACTATCAACCAATAGAAACCGTGAAGACCCAAAATTTTGATCTTTCCGGATTCAAGCTTCTCCAAAATTCATCAATGGCAGGTTTCAAAATAGACGTAACTTTTTGAAATGCTCAAGGTGTTTTAAAGTAGTTCTACATCTAAATCCGAGAAGATAAAGAAAACTAAAGGGGGCCTTTACACAGATTTATTGCTTCAACAATACAATAAAATTTATGAACTAAAGAAGTCAAGAATGTCTATGCAATGCACAGGTTTCTGTATTGCCTCTGTTAAGTTCAGTAAAATGTGGAGTGAAGAAAAAATCAAGATTCAATAAGCAATCCAAAATACTTAGATCAAAGTCTGCAACTCATAAGAACTTTATACAAATTTAATAATTTCATCTTAATTGTCGATTTTTGTCTATATATTTCACAGATACCTACTTAAATAACGTGCTAAGTTAACAGATACAACTTCCTAAATGCGATAAATGACGAGTATCCTTTCTCGTATGACATAAATTAGCTTGAATTCATGTGTATGTATTTCTTCTGTTACAATTATACAAAATATAAAAATATATTCTATTCTAGTCTTACATTTCTACAAGTACGCTAAGGAATGCTTCATAAAAAACGGCCCTCCATTCCAATGTTATGGGTCCTAACAATGGTCCACTAGATATTATAGTGGGAAGAAGAAATACTATGAGCATTTTGTATTATTGGAACTTTTTTACCATATAGGTTTGTTAAATCAATTAGTTAAACTTTTTAGCTTGAACTGATCATAATCTACAGGATAATGTATATTTTCGAGGCCTTATCAATAAAACATTTCAAAGCATCATACCACCAAGATTTATTTGAACCCTACTTCGTATAAGAAATACGAACTAAAAGGTATTAAATTAGTTCAGTGAACCATGTGACTTCAAGAGCACTTACAGATTAAAAGAGGGACAACTATGGCAATCTTCCGCAACTCCTCGTGAGCTTGCATGATCTTTTTAATCTGAGCCAGCAAATAAATAGAAATAAGGTATTAGTATGGTTGTATTCATATCAAAGAAAAATTTAAGTTTTAGAAACAAGATCTGATGTGACCTGAAAGCAATTTGGTCCAGTTAAACACATTATATTGAAAAGGAAGAACGATTAATATTCAAATGGCACCAAAGTAATAGTTGTCAAAATCTTTCTCAAGAAAACAAATTCTAGTACAATAAAGTTTGAACCTTGAGAAACTAGACAAGCAGAAAATTCACATAAAAACCTCAAACACTTTACCACATAAATGTGAAAACCTTAAACACTTTACAAACAGGAAATTCACATAAAGTTTGAACATTCACTTCCCACATAAACGTGGCTTGAACAAGTTATGTACCTCAAATACTCTACCCTCTCCTATAGATTCATGATATATTTGATCTTTACCTAATACACTCTAGAGTTTTCTTTGAATTACTAAACCNTCCCTACTAATTATCTATTTCACAATTTTTTTTGAGTAACTATTTCACACTCATATATATTTGCTTACTCACACCATTAAAAGTTAATTGTCACGACCCAATTTCTCTCTCCGTGAACTGTTGTTACGGCACCTAATCTCTACGACTAGGTAAGCCTAACAAATTACGAAAAAAGAAAATGAAATACGAAACTAG